CATGAAAGTATGCCCTGAACATTCCATGTGGCAGCGACAACAATGAGCTTCTTACCAGTAATTGATGCCCTAAAAACATCCACACTCTACCAGAAGGCGTGTTTAATTCTACATCTCACTGCGTTGGTGTTTCACACAGTCGGGTTCTCCTGTCCCAACTGGGCTCATGACGGACGCAACAACAGCGGACTATGGAGAAGGTGCCAGTTCCTGCTATTCCGGACCTTCTGCTTCGAAGTGCTGAGTCAGGACGATGTCGAAGGTTAGTTTATAAAGTAGCGATCTCTGTAGTTTGGGGTCATGGTTTTTTGTGTTCTTTATTTGTTGTTTAACTCCGCACTCAGTGGTATTCCAGCTACAGCCGAACCTCGTCTTGTTGAACTCGCGGGGACATGAAAAACAGTTTCAGTTATCCGGGTTCGCGACATCAATAAAATTGTATGCTTAATTTGGATACTTGGGACTCCCAAATGAGTTCGACACAATCTATCTACTTAGTAGTAAGTAGGGGATACTCAAAAATAATTTAAAATTTCCAAAATTGTGATATTAGTTGCAGACAGGTAGTAATAGCTGTATGATAACAGTAAACCGTAAACTGATAACAGTATGGGAACACACTACAACCGGAAGTGAAGTATACCAGTGGATGACGATAGGGGAAAGATGGGAAATTTCGAAGGTGACGTTTTGGGATCAGTAGTCCCTAATACCGTCACGATTTGTCAAACATTCATTCAGTCGAGGTAAACTGCATATGAGTTTTCCAATGGCGATTTGGGGAGCCTGTGCCACTCCTCTTGCAGCGCCTGGCCAAGTTCAGTCAACTAGTCGGCGGCCTATGATGTTAACGCACACGTTTCCCTGTCAAGTCCAGGACGTGCTCAATTGGGGAAAGGTATGGGCTCATTCTATGGATGTTGTGCTGCTGGATGTGAGCACAGATGATTCGTGCACGTTGAGCACGGGCGTTGTCGCCCTGAAAGACAAAACGTCGACCAACACGCCTCGCAAACGGGACAACAAACTTTAAGGGTGTCAGTATGTGTTGTCCTGATAGTATTGTCCAGCGACCCTTCCTTGCATAATATGGAGGGTGGTTCGCTCAATCATAGTGATGCCACTAACACCATAACCGATCCACCGCTAAATTTGTCACGACTAACGAGATCAGGTGATCAGGCTTGCTTACTTGGTTGATGCATGTCATCGTATCCAAATTGCGTGGAACGATGCTCATGATGTCAATCATTGAATTGTTTGGTCGATTATTGACAGACCGCCGCCATAACTGGAATATTACCAAAAACTCTCCTCAAGACTTTATGACAAGAGGGGAGATTTGCTTGATGCATGTCATCGTGTTTCATTTGCGTGGATCATGATATCAAGCACTGGATTGAGTGGTCCAAATTTGATAATAAAGAGACCGCCGTCATTTAGCTGGAATATTGCTGTTTGCGTCGTTACAACAAATCTTCCTTGAAGGTGTCAAAATCAGGAATGACACATTATGCACGTGTGTGGCGCTACTGCCTGTGGCACGTGCAAACTATAGGATGTGTTTGGGTGTTAGTTCTACAGACATAAACAGTCTTGCATAAAATGTTTGTCGCTAACACTTATCTTTGTTCTAATACTTGGCATTAACATTTATATTTCAAGATTCCCCCACTTTTGTTTAAGAGTACAGTAAACTACGGTTATAACGAACTCAAAGGGACCACTAATTTTAGTTCGTAATAACCCTTATTCGTTATAAGCATATATATACAGCATATATGCAACAAATGTGCAGAACTAAAAAATAAGTTCGTTATATCGGTCAGTTCGTAAAAGCGTGTTCGTTGTAAACGTAGTTTACAGTATATATCTGGTTTTGCATCTGTAGTAGAATATCTATAAAAAATTCCAGCCCCCACCAGATTTTCAAATGGTCGGTCCCAGAAAGGTTGCATTATGCCCAGTTATTGTACTCGTTAGTTTTCCGTCCCCGGAGAGTTAACAGTAACTCGCGTTATGCCAGCCTATTGTAACTGAAAGTGTCTTCATCATTTTCTGTGTACATATATTTTATCTATAGCCAACCCAGTACCTCAGAACACACGCTTAAGTTTACCGACCTCGCGAGTGAACGTGACACTTTGGCGAATCTTTACACTAAAATAGTTGTACCTTATCGCTCGGTATCTATACACAATGCGAAGTGAAAAAGCCTCAATTTGGTAATTCGTTATCGCTTTTTTAAACTGAGATGCAAACCTTGCCTTTTTCAAAGAAAATTGTTTATGATTTTTTTAATGTTGATGTTTTTGAAGAAAGAGTTGAAAGTATGAAATGCCAGACCAACAGTTTGCAACGGTAGGGGTCCAAAGTCATTTCCTTAATTATCTTTGAAAATGATCGAGGGTTTCATAAACTTCTGGTATTTATATTTCCGTCATGGTAATTTAGACAAAACATCCGGTGCTATAATACACATACCGTATTAGACGTTAAGCTCATATCGTCCCTCGTGGCCCGGTGTAGGGGACACCGTGTACGTCAAACAGGACGGTACTGTTCTCAGACAATATTCTAGCCCGACTCTGATTTCTTATATTAGTCTTTCAACATGTTAAAGGGGGCGCGGGGTAACGTAGTGGTTAAAGCGTTGGCTCGTCAAGCCGTAAACGCGGGTTCGATTCCCCACATGTGTACAATGTGTGAAGCCTAGTGTTATGATATGGATGTAATACTGTTAAAAGTAGCGTAAAACCATACTCACTCACTCAACATATTAAGGGCTTTGCTTGGTTAGGTTGCGACTTTTATATGTTCCGCACTTTGCATAAAATCTCAGAAAGTGAATGTTTGAAAGTGAAGCGCTCGTAAAACACCGCGAATATAACAAACAATGGCGTTGTTATGTTAGTTTGTTGTTTATCGCCCCACTCAGCAATATTCCAGCTATGTGACGGCGGTCTGTCAATAATCGAGTCTGGACCAAACAATCCAGTCCTTGACATCATGAGCATCGATCCGAGCAATTGGGATAGTCAGTTGGGATAGCGAGCCTGACCACCCGATCCCGTTAGTCGTCTCTTACAAGGATTAGTCACCTCTAAGGACAAGCATGGGTTGCTGAATATCTAAATGTGGTCTCCTCTATTTCTGGTTCAAGTGGGTAAAACGGTGGAAAGGAACTGGCTATTTATCCGTTATTGGACGGAATCAGATCATGGATATAGCTGAAGCTTAAGTTAAATGTCTGGGCCAAATTGCCTTGTTTTGACGTTGACAATCCAAACAGAAATTCCGATTCATACGCATAAAGAAACAGGTCAGCAAGAAGGGGAGCACAACTGGTGTCCATGGGGAAGCTTATTTCTTTCCTAAATGCCCTACCCCCAAAAGTCCAGCATTTCACATATTGTTTTCTGAGTCAACTTCAGGGGACATTTGCTTTCTTGTTTTGACAAATTGTCCTGAACCTCTGAAGAGAGATATGTAAGTATCTGTGGTCTTCACGCTTAGTAGCCAATGCCAAGTAAATCAAGGAATGAAGTTGTCCCTTAAGTTTGCCATGCGAGATGGTGGTGACAAAGTTAAAAAATCAAATGTACGAAAGCCTCGTTTTGGGATCAAACAGCGGTTGAAATCAGCGATCGATGACTACCTTTAGTAGATGAAAGTTTGGGGTGATTGCGAAGTCCTGTTTCAGCTCAGACTGGTTCCCTGTGTTTGTACCGCCCCTACACGGTAAGCTGGGTGACTGTCTTTAATAGGTGAACGTTTGGGGTGATTGCGAAGTCCTATTTCAGCTCAGACTGGTTCCCTGTGTTTGTACCGCTCCTACACTGTAAGCTGGGCGACTGTCTTTCAGCAACAGTCAAATGGCTAGCGTTTCACGTGAAGTCCGAAACTTCGGTGTGATGTCATTCACCAAAATGTTTGAAAATATCCGCTTTTAATGCCAGTATTTCATAAACAATTTATCAGGTCGCATGCCCCGTCTGCACTAGGCATCGCGAAAGCTCGCCAAGTGCACGATGTTACAAAATATATCGATACCTGATCGAGCGATTTGGAATCTTCCGTTTAGACATATAATATATACAAGAAACTGAATAATACTGTTTACTTGTTTGATGTATAAATATTTTTACTGTGTAATCTCATACTGCCACACGGCACACAAGGCTTGCAGGTCAGTAATATACCTAATAGTATATATAGTATAGCCTGCACGCAACTCCAGCTCATCATATATAGAATTATACATATGACTGAAGTACAGTGTTACGTATATATTTAGTCATCCTTCATTATCCAGTGTATTATGATAGCATTTAGATATAAGTCGCTGGATAACAGAGTTAGATATTAAGTGCCTCATGACAGGTGTGGTTATATCGAAATAAACTTCTGAAAATTAAACCATTCATACTCTATCTTTTATATTTTTACTATAACTCCTTTAATCTCAAAACCCCGGGTCACTCTTATGTTTCGCAGATCAAGACGAACAAACTTCGTTATTCATGATCCCTGAGCGTTGATATCCAAACACACATTTTCGATTAATACGGAAATTATATATTTAAAACAGTTAAATTGTCTTTTAAGATATAACAGAAAGTAAGGGAGAGAATCCCTTCATTGTTTTATCGGAAAATATAAAACAATTGATTAGTCAATCTTGACAACCCTCTCGGGTTTTAAAAATATTTTTGTATCATGGTACGTACGACAGCGTAACACGCACCAAGCGAAACATTTCATATTTCTCCTTTTTTCCGAAACCCCGGATAATAATGAATACTACACTGTCACATTTCATGCATCAAGTCAGCTCGACTCAAAACAGCCTTTTCTTTAAACACAGCTATAACAACTGGGAAATACAACTTCTCCAAAATAAACCTTGAGTTTTGAACGATCAAACTCGCGTGGTATTGTTAACTAGGGGTGTGGTCGTGACTTCAATTATTCCGCGGCACTCGGTGTAAACTAGCACATTCCCTGGCGTAGGCGGAAAACTTGAAAACGGCAACACTGCAGTGCGTTGCCCGCCCCTCCCTCGCTTCCTACACCGTACTCTCTACCCCTCTGTTTGTCGCCATTGCTCAGCGAGTAAAGTGATTCACTGCGCGCAGCATAAGCAAGAACCATGGCAGACTTCTCATCCGTGTCAATCTGGATTAAAGTGTGTATGATATTAATCCCTCTTGGCGGATTATGTCACCTCATAGGGTTTGCATCCCCTTACTGGATTAGTTCTCTCACAACCCATATCGGAATTTGGAAATCTTGTTCTGGATCAATCTGTATAGATTGGCTTGATACGAGGGCTGTTCCCGGTGAGTATGACTTTTCGTCAAAACAATATATAATTAATTTGGTAGGCCATTTACATGTATTAATATTTTAATTATTGCAGACTAAACCCGTTTTGAGACCGAGTAATTTTCAGTCACGTCCTCAAGACAGACACATTTTTCCTTTGAAATATGAGGTGCCGATTTTTAAAAAAATCACATTTTTAGGGGCATTCAAGCTTATCCAGCAAACATGTCTTTGTAGTAAAATCTGAGATCAAATGATTTTTTCGAGTATTTTGCGAAACAAAATATCTAAACTTAATAAATCCCATATAGAAATATGTTCCACAATATGCTACTAACGCAAGTTTGAAATTGAGTTGCCATGTCGAATATAGTATATAGTATATAGAATATAGTACATAGTACATAGTATACATGTAACGTGTGTAATACATTATACATGTTAGACTGAGACAGACTCGTAACAAGTATATGGTCCCAGATATTATCGGTAATAATTATAGAGTGGGAAGATCAACATTATGGTTACTGGTCTTCGGGCTTTGAACACCTTACACATACATTATGTCTCTGGAATTCAGTACCTAGGCGATATCCGCACTTACAAACTGAAAGTCTTTTCCCCACAAATAGATGAGATTTAGTGAAAAGAATGTAAGTAAAATATGTCGATAGTGAATGGAGGTAACAGGCACCTGCCTACGCAATGGCCTTGAGGCTGATGCCAGTAATCAACATCACCTTGTCCCGGCTGCATCTTCAACTGACCGCGACCCCTGGCCTGGCTGGCCATACCGGCAGGCTGCAAGCCAGGGAGATTGGAGTCAGGCATCATTAAAACTGTTTGATGTGTTGACTTACAAACTCCGACGCCCTCTTAAGACGTTGTGTTCGGTCGAGCGGTTTTTATTTTCAGAAACGGAAGTTCTGACGAAGTTAAGACACTTTGTAACGTTGATATGTTTGACTAATTCCGCACTGGTACAAAACAGATACATGGTGAGTGAGTGAGTGAGTGAGTGAGTGAGTGAGTGAGTGTTGTTTTAAACCGCTTTTATCAAAACTTAGCAATATCACAAGGGACACCAGAAAATGAGCTTGACACATTTTACCCATTTGGGGGGTCAAACCCGGGCGTCTGGCGTTACGCACGAACGCTTAAACATGCTACCCAAACTTCCCTAAATAAATCATTTACTTTGCTATATAATATTGTATAGCGACAACTTCAAGTGAATATATGTTTTAATGACATTTTAATGTGATTCCACCTTACGACAACTGACGTCTATGACATAGAGTCCACACGTGATCGCCTACGTGGTCTCGTGGAAAACGTCCTCCCCGGCCGCACCATACCACAGGACGTTAAAGGATGATATTTTTTGTTACCCTGCCTGGCGCTCGGAAGTAAGGGGCTAAAATAAGGACTGGTCGGCTTGGAGTCAGTATGCTGTGTCGGAGTGGGGTATTCATGTTAAACTGCGGCATGGTATCTCAGAGGGCTAGCACTATAATATCGGTATAAGTCCGGACTAATACACACACACACACACACACACACACGCGCGCGCGCGTATGTGCATGCACGTAACTATATACGTGCAAAAATCTTTGACGCGACGTTTAACCTAATTTTACCTCACTTTATCCACACTTTTGCGTGTGAGCCATTTTACGATAAATTGGAGATTACCAACTTATATTTTCGAGTTAGCCTTGTTTTTGTATTCTTATATTGGTAATGACATGCATTTACGATTGCGGAAGCTTGTCCCGCTTTCAGTGCTAGGTCTCTCAGGATCTATTTCCTGGCACACGTATTACGCAACCATATGTGTTGTACAGTCATCATTCGTCATACCATTACAATAATTCACATGACTATATATAACCAGAGGCCATATAATATGGTCTCTGATATAACGCAACTCATTATGAATCACCCATTTCTAAGTGCGAGATGGCCGTTCAACTGTTGCGAACGCGTTGCACATCAAACACACCTGTTTACCGACTCGACACGTGTATTTGGTCAAGGCAGCACTGCTAGCATTGCAGTTGATTCCAAGATGGCTGACTAGCCTTTGACGACCTTTGTGACCCCTGATCTCTGACCTCATTTTACTCAAGGACAATATCATTCAACCGGTAGCCGAGTTAGTGAAAACAGTTTTGTTTATTTTCTCTTGTAACAAAGGGCATCTGGGATCACGTATATGGAAGCCATCTGTAGGTTCTTGCACAACACTTTATAGCCTGTAGTCCTGGAGGCAATACCACCATGACGGGAAATATATCCGTGGTTTGGTGGCGCTGTGGTTGTGGTGGTAACGAATAATATTCTTAAAGCTACATCGATCGATTGATGGATTGGTACATTGCCTGTTTCGGTATGTGTACACCACGTTCCTCCATCACTCGTGAATACACACGACCGCTTTGCTATTTTTAACCAACGAATCAAGCTGCGGGCTGCTTCCACAGAGAGGGAAGCCAGCGGATACTCAGACCAATAAGCGCTCAGTTTACATCGCGCTCACGGCGATATGCCTCGCTTGACATCCAACACGTGCCACAGCCTTGTGAAATTCGTCATCTCTCGTCCCTTTCCGTAAAGGCTTGTCCCGGAAATGCACGAGTTGGTCACGATCGAATGACCTTGTATGGTATATCTGTTCTTCAGTATGAGGCAATGCAGGTTCGCACAAAGTTCATGCACGGAGTAGGGCTTATTTTACTTCCGCCAGTTACAGTGCGGCGTTGTGTCTGCCGACCGAAAAGTCTCACCAGTACACCGCACATCGGTCGTGTGTAAGGGTATTCTTGGGGGATGGAGGATCGTCATGTACAATTGACGATGCCCGTCGTTCGTGGTATTATTGCAAAATATATGCCGCACTCATCTTTGAGGGGGGGGGGGGGGGGGGGGGGGAGGGGGAGTTGCGTCCCCTGGGCACACCAGAAACCTATGATTGCTGTGGGTTCGAATCCTGTTTCTGTTTCGATGTTTCTAGGTTTGTCAGCACCATAGCCGTGATCTTGGGTTTCACCGAAGTAGTAAACGTCTGAGACCTGCATCACTTTGGGCTTTCCTCCCACATTAAGCTGACACGCCGTGATATAACCGGAATAATGTTACAAGCTACGTTAAAACCCAACTCACTCACTCATCTTTAGGTTTAGGTTTACTTTGATCAGCATTTCTGTTAAATCTGCTTGGTTTGCGAGGAAAGTCGTAGTGATGTAAGTCTTAGATGTTTACAACTTTGGTGAAACTCGTGAGCAGGAGTTTGGTGCTGACACAAATAAATAAATAAATTCGAACCGGGATTCAAACCCACGATCATAGTTATCTAGCAAGTCTGCAGAGCGAATTGCGACGCCTTTGACAGCTGTGCCAGTCGAGAGTTCAACGACAATATGAGTGAGTGAGTGAGTAAGGTTTGACGCCGCTTTTAGCAATATTCCAGCAATATCACAGCGGGGGATACCAGATATGGGCTTCACACATTGTACCCATCGAACCCGGATCTTCGGCGTGACGACTGAACGCTTTAATCACCAGGCTACCCGACAGCCCAGAGGTACTATGAACAGGTCCTCATTTAATAATATAGTTATAAATGACGGGTGGTTTATAACGTGTGACGTGAAGTGGTTGTGCGTCAGCAACGCATGCAATCAATAGTTGCTCATGCTGTCAACCATTGGTTTGCCTAACCGAGATTAACCCAGTTATATTACTTGAATGTTGATGGCTGTGGCGTTAAACAATATTCACTTTTCGTTTTATGAATGTTTGTTTGACTACATGTAGATTCTAACTACTCACTTACATGATTTCCGTTAAGAGCCGTGTTTCGCATCTTATCTTGAAGCTGTTCGCGCATGTGCTTGTCGTGTCGTGCAACGCACTGATAGCAGAAACTTAATGTGTAGGAGTTCAACGCTGTACCTGTAGGGCAGCAGATAATCTGAAGTTGGGGTGTGGTCCTCTCACCATATCTGTGACGTGATAATGTGTCTCCACAAGGACAAGCTTTGAGAACCCTCTACATTATATTTCGCTTTACCTATACGCCTATACTATACACTGCTAAAGCACAAGCCAGTTCTAACCGACGGCCAAATCTCAAATAAAATTCCACATTGGTAACAGACGGTCACCACAACAGGAAATATATAAAAGTGGAGAAAAGGGGGCACACACACACACACGCACGCACGCACGCACGCACGCACGCACGCACGCACACACACAGGCACGCATGCACACACGCACGCACGCACGCACGCACGCACAAACACACATATCGCTATACCCGTGAGAGGAGACAAACGTGATCGGGTGGTCAGGCTCGGTGACTTGGTTGATGCATGCCATCGTATCCCAACTGCCTAGATCGATGCGCATGATGTCAATCACTGGATTGTCTGGTCGAGGCTCGATTATTTACAGACCGCCATCGTATAGCTGAAATATTGCTGAGTGTAGTGTTAAACAACAACAAACAAGCATGGCTATATCTTGCAATTGAAACTTGTTATGTTGACGTTTCAATTAAGGTCATATTATAATAAAAATATGAAAGGATTATTCCTAACAAAAGACCTGTCAGAATGCGGCAGAATACAGACATTTTATGTCACTATATGGTGGTAAAGATTGTGAAATAATTATTTTACACACAGACTAAAATTAGCTGCAATGGCAGTTACTTTGTGGATAAAGATCTCTTTAACATTGCTATATACGGCAGTGTTGTATGCTCTCCCGCGGAGAAGTATATGTATTATGCTATATCGGCTATCTGAGTAATGCGGGTTAATTATATGTTCTTGCATTCTCAGTAAATGTCAGCTCACATACATCGTGTAGCGCTCTTAGCTGGCCATTTTATTATTCTTTTGTTTAAGACAGACTATTTATTCAGTCAGACATATTTATCTCTTGAAGGAGCAATGAGAGACTGAGTATGGTTTTTACTACGCTTTTAGCAATATTTCAGCAA